CTACTTATACTTACATGCATACACATACATGTACATACATATATGCATGTGTGTATGAGAAGCGATACGGCCTTCTCCTTCTCCGCTCGTGATCGAGCAACAACAACACAATTACAGTAAATAGGTGAAAAAGACAACAGCGCGCAGTTGCACAAATATAAAAAAAAAGCAACCACAAAGCGCACACACACATCTACACGTATACAAGGTATTACGGTAATCAATGTCAAACGCTGCCGATTTCATTCGCATGCACAACAAGCAACAACAATATCCGACTGTCTGTCTCATTGTATTTGTGTGTACTTGTACAACACAAAAACAATTTAAGAGCAATAGCAACTGACACAAAATACACCACATACATATGGCTCCACAGATTCGCGTTATATACAACAACAACAACAAATTGCCAAGAGAGCCGTTCTCTGAAATAGGGTGAACAGAATATTTGACGGAAATTCCAACAACCTCAAGTGCTTTGATGAAATAAAATAATCTCTGTTAAAATTTGTTAATTTCAGCGTAACCTGTTGGTTTGCACATTGTCACAAGTATTTTTTTTTTTTAATAAATAGTAAGAAATAAGTAAAGTTTTTAAATGCCAACTTAAACACTCGAATACATGGACAGAAAATAACACCACTTGTTGTTGGCTGCTTCTTGTTTTGGCATAATTAAATGCAATATGTGCGAGCGTGACAGCATCACAATGCATGACTATCGTCAACGGTCGCCATTTGCTCTCTCGCATGCTCAAAAGCAAGGCATGATCCGACACACCGACACACACACAAATACACAGACACAATACTTTCACTTCTTGTATTGAATTTAATTTCGGTTGGGACGCCAGCGTTGATGTTTTTGTTGTAGTTTTTATATATGTTTTCAACAGATTTATGCAAGTTTTCTGTGTTTGTATACATATGCATGAACACATACACAAGGCTTGTGAATATAAGTGCGTGTGTGTGTCTCGATGTTGGGGCCCTCAGCAACAGCGAGCGAAAATAAAAATTATAGAAAATCCGTGCCTCCACACACAAATGACAAAGGTGGGTAAGAAATAAATGCTCTGTGTGTGTGTGTGTGTGTGTTGGGGATATGCATTTGTATGTATAGACATAAAAAATAGAAAAAACGTCTTAAATTTGACTTCATTTACCAGCTCTTAAATAATTCGAAATTTATTAAAGCCAAATGCTCTTTGGCTGACCTTATTGATCTTGATCTTAAGCAAAATCAATGAATACTGAATCAAGGTATACATATTTCAAGAAATGAAATTGTATTTATTTAAAATTCAACAGATATTAGCTTATCTACGCAAGCACAAAGTACACAAGTAGCAACAAGCACATGCGTCAAAGCACTTGGCACCTGACATATGGAGTTGCATTTTACTACTTTTCTAAGCCTAACCCCTCTCTCTCTCCCTTTCTCACTCTGCCAATCAACAACAACAACACACACACATATAAAATGTGCATGAATGCAATAGCGCAAAACATTCTAAACAATATCGGGCAACGAGTGGAGTGCAGTCACAGCTAGACGCTCCCACCCCACACGATATTTCTCTCGCTCGATGACGACGACGCGACATTTTGTCTCTGGTGTCATTTTCTCGCTCTGAACAATTTATGAAATGTCAAATCAATATGCAGTTGTTTACTTGTCCAAATGTATAAAACATTGAGTAAAATGAATGTAAAACACTTTCTTTATATAAACAAGCAACAGTTTAACAGAGAAACAGAAGAAATTATGATAATAAATGAAAATTAATAAAAACCGTATACAAGCGAATGCTGGCGAAAGACCTTACGTTTTTTTTTTTTTTTGTGTTTATTAAACTTTTTTTTTCTTTTGCTACTTTTGGCGTGAATTGGGCCTTGCATGATATACAATCCCCTCACACCAAATGCTGATACGCGCAGACAGCTGCTGGAATGCTAACTTGTGAAATACACGACGCCGCACAAACAACCAAGAGGGGGGGGGGGGGGGGGGGGGGGGGCATAAACATACTGACGTCACATGTGTGCTGCAGTGTTTGTTGTTGTTATTAGTAGAAGTAGTGCATCATCAATTTCTACAATTTGCATAGACCGTCTATCGATAGGCATGTAGTAGTTTAATCGATAGCACACTCAACAACAACGCGCACATCACATGTTAAAATTAGATATGGAAAACTGCTGCCCGCCCACGTACGATTTCTAGGATAACTTTTACACATACGCACGCCTCCGCAAAATGCAACAGCGTCGATGGCAAATTGTTCAAAAACACATTTACAGGGGCAGTCGAAAAAAAAAGAAAAAACTAAATTGAGAATAGCAACGTCAGCTGCCAAGTGGAAAAGCATTACGAATTCACATTACTCCTTGGATGGGCCCGGCGTTGTTTAACTGTTGTCAACATTCCAACGAATTTTGTTCTCTTTTTCTACCACTTTCTATTGCTTACTTTGTGTGTAGTTGGTGTTTTTTTCTTATTTTTTTTATTATTTTAAAGTTGAAACACTAGCAATTGTTATACATGCACAAAAGATGATATTGCTGACGATTTTTACTTGTGCTTGTTGTTGGAAGTAAAATTATTTATAAATTAATTGAAATCGCGTAAATAACGACGGCGACGCGACAACGACGTCGGCGGTGGCGACATCGACAGCGGCTGATTTTCGTCGGCGACAAGACTACGTGAGAGCGGTTGGTTGACGTTTTTTGTGGTTGAGCGCGAGAACTAGGGAGACGGGGAGACGACGAGGACGAGAGCTGCTGGAGCGCGCGCGTGCATAATACGCACGTATACACAAACACACATGCATATACCTTTCATACATACGCAAGCTTCCTCGCACGGTGCGAGGGAGCTTGTCTTGCCGTACAAGAGAGTCAAACTCACACACGCAAGCAGACGTAAATATGTGTATGTACATATGTATAAATGTATAAAATATAATACACGGCTACGTTAATGATATTGAACGGCGACTGCAAATGTAAATGGTGGCAACTGTCTGTCACAGTTAAACGGACAGATTAAACGACGATCCGCCCGAGAAACACACACACATACACACACCCACAAAAGTGGAGAAATCAATCAACGATGTACAACACGACGGAACGGGGGAAGGCGGAAACCAGAATTTAACAATATTTTCCATATTGGACACATTTTAGATTCGTTTATTTTTGCATACATATTTGTATATGTATTATTATTTTTCTCATTTTTTTTTCTTACACAATAATTTTTTTATAAATTTCAATAGTTTTCACACACATTATATTTTACACTTAATTGAGCTCTTGTTGCTGGCTTAATAATGCACGTATTCCCCTTAAGTTAATTTTCTATAATTTACAAATGTAATTTTAACAAAAAATTTTCTTAGTCAAAGTCAGAAATCACGTCATGGCTGCCACGTCCAAGCAACAATGAATCGTAAAATTTCCAAAGCAGCCCACTTCACGCGGCGTTATCGTCGGTTGCGGTTGCGAGTGCGTTTGTGAGCTGAGAGAGTGAGCGAGTGCTGCCGACATCGCGCAAGTGCAGTGTGTACACACGGATTTTAGCAAAATATTCTCTTTTCATATTGAGTTATGTGGGATAGAGCGAGTAGACTATAGTACGCGTTTAGAAAAACCAACCAATAATTTGCAAATGGATGCAAACACTTGTGCTCGTATTGCTGGTATTATTTAGTGCTACATTCAATCGCGTTGATATTTAACCCAGTGCGCTTTTGTAAAACTTGCAATTGACAACGAAAAATACACATCCTAATATCAAAATGCTAGACCGGAATTTTCACACTTAGCTAAGCGATAAGCTCTCCATTAAGAGCTTAAATGTCATTGACAGAAAAATTGCATTTTGAGGCGACTATTGCAGAAATGAGTCACTTGGTTTTGAACGTTCCAAATAAACATTCATGTACGTACTTAGATTATAAACAACACATTTTTTTTTTATGATTTTAACTGTTTTATAAGAAGTTAATTTATTTCTTATTGCGCGCCATCGTTTTCAAACAGAAAGAAAGACCAAAACAAGCGTATAAAACATATGTTTTCAATTCGCGAGCGCTCTTGATGTCAGAGCGAGATGGCTATATATATTAAAGAGAAGCTGCATTTGCGAAACACAGCATATAAAAATGCAATAAATTTGTGTAGAATGAGAGAGACACAAAAATGTGAAATGTCGCGCGTCATATATAAAATTTCACAAAACTTGCAATAAATTACAGCTAACCAAACAAAAAATAAGTATTCACAATAAATAATTCAATTGGTCACAACAAAACCAAATGAAAACAATAATAAAAGACAATGCACGCATCGCGGCAGCGGCAACGAGACATCGTCGGCAGCCGCTGACGCCTGGTGCTCACTCGCTTGAACCTGACCACGGTTTGGTATTCATATTCTGCCGAAAAATTTTCAGCAGACTAAAATGCAGATAAAAACAATGCACTCACCCTGGAAATTATCGTCATTCTCTTCCTCTGATGCCATGCTTGCAGTTAAATGCAAATTTTCAAAGTTTTATGCACAATAAAAGCGCTTAATTTCCACAACAAATAATTAAGCACACACAGACACGACGAGAAAAAAATAGACGATACGCTTCTGTATAGAGGTGGGAAATTATCGATAACTTTATTGACAGTGTCGATAATTTTTCTGTAAGTAAAATTCGAGTAAAAACTCAAACTCTAATTTAAAAGAAAAACGATTGAAATAAATATAAATAAAGATATTTAGAAATGATTAAAAATTAGTGTAATATAGATGAAGGAACCCCAATCGATAACTATGAGTATCGTTTTTATAGCTATCGTGTGCCATCAAAAATGGCGGTGCAGGGTGCAAAAATGGGGGCCTCGAAACTAATCGATAAATGAGCAAGTTGTAGACAATTGCTGAGATCAATTGGAAAACATAATTGTGAAGTTGATTTACTTGGGACATTGTTAAGCTATGTTTTAAAATTGCCTTTTATGTTACAATAACTAAAGGTGCTGTTCAGTTTGTAACTCAAAATACTAGTTCGATTAAACTAGTTTAAAAGTGAGCAACGCAACTCTAGCTGTCAGTGGGAAGAAGAGTGGAACAACCCTGTCTTTTTGCCAAAGAAATTTTCACGTAAACGTTTTTGCAGATAAACATACAACAAATACCAAAAAATAAAGCATTGCGGATTAAGCGGAATGTGCAAAGTTTTTGGTAAATAACTTTTACGTCTTTAGCCAGTTCAATTTAATTGCGAATATTATGTCGTCCATTATAACGCGCAAGGATGCCGAAAGCGCCGACGCCGACGAACAAAAATCGAAATCAGCCAACAAGCGCAGCGCTGCTGGCGCCGACGTCGGCGTCGATGCTGCGCCTAAGAAGTCACGCTTCGATGTCAAGGAAAAGAACGGGGGGGCGCCCCCCATCGATGCGATGGCCTCATCGCTGAGCTCCACACAAATCAAACTGATGATGGCGCATGCCCAGCGCGAGATCGAGGAACGCAAGCGGGCGCTCAGCAATCTACGTGACAAGGATCCCCTGCTAGCGTCCGTGCCACAAATCGGAATGCCCGTTGCACTGGCTACCCAGGCGTTAGCCAAGAAACCAACGCCCGAGGACGCAGACAAGGCCAGAAAGATTGCCGAATTGCAGGCACAAATACGCGCCAAGTTAACCGGCAATCTGGCCAATATAATCCAACAGCAGCCCACGGCGGTGGCAGCAGCAGCTGCGGCCGCTGCTCAGCAACAGCAGGAGCGACCCAAACCGCTCATACTGGACGAGGAGGGGCGAACCGTGGACAAGAGCGGACGTGCCATCAACATACCAACAGTGACGCCCACGCTCAAGGCAAATATACGCGCCAAGAAGCGCGAGGTGTTCCAACGCCAGACAACGGGCAGCGAAGGCAGCAGTCATAGCGGTGCCACCAGCACCGGACAGGACGATGCCATCAAGTATTTTGATGATCGAATTGCTCAAAAGCCGACGCTGCGAAATAAACGCACGTTGCGATTCCACGAGCCCGGCAAGTTCCAGCAGCTGGCGGAGCGCATGCGTATGAAAAGTCAGTTGGAGCGTCTGCAGAACGAGATATCTCAAATAGCACGCAAGACGGGCATATCTTCGGCCACAAAGCTGGCATTGATTGCACCCAAGCAGGATATGCCCGATGATGTGCCCGCCATGGAGTGGTGGGACTCGGTCATACTCAGCCAGGATATGCAAACACTGGATGAGGCGAGCGGCAAGATCAGCATCCGCAAAACGGCCATCAGTAATCTCATCGAGCATCCCACGCAAATGAAGCCACCAAGTGAGTAAACCCTAATGCCGATTTTGTGCAAAGTATCGAAATTTGGGCTTGCATAAAATGTTGATGACTAATACTATTCCATTTTGCAGATGAGCCTCTGAAGCCCGTCTACTTGCCCGTGTTCCTCACCAAAAAGGAACGCAAAAAGCTGCGTCGTCAGAATCGCCGTGAGGCCTGGAAAGAGGAGCAAGAGAAGATACGCCTGGGCCTGGTGGCGCCGCCGGAGCCAAAGCTGCGCATATCCAATCTGATGCGTGTGCTGGGCACAGATGCTGTGCAGGATCCCACCAAAATCGAGGCGCACGTGCGCGAGCAAATGGCCAAGCGTCAGAAGGCTCACGAGGATGCCAACAACGCCCGAAAGCTGACGAGCGAACAGAAAAGCGAAAAGAAACAGCGCAAACTTAAGGAGGACACCAGTTGCGGTGTCCATGTTAGCGTCTACCGTATACGCGATCTGCAGGACAACCAGAGCAAAAAGTTTAAAGTCGAAACGAATGCCAAGCAGCTGCAAATGACCGGCAGCGTGGTGCTCTTCCGGGATTGCTGTGTTGTTGTCGTTGAGGGTGGGCCCAAGCAGCAGAAGAAGTACCGTCGCCTCATGCTGCATCGCATCAAATGGGAGGAAGATCTGGTGAAAGGTAACGATGGCCAGGATGTGGCCAATTCGTGTGTGCTCGTCTGGGAGGGCACCAGTCAGCGTCGGCACTTTGGCGAAATCAAATTCAAAATATTTCCCATGGAGAAAATGGCACGCGAATTCTTCCAAAAGCATCAGGTCGAGCACTACTGGGATCTGGCCTACTCGGGCGCTGTGCTGGAAGCCTCTACGGATCAGCAGTAAACAATCTGGCGACATCTAGCTGTTTAGACCACAAAATTTGTTAAAAGTTTAGATATATAAGCTTAAAATTATAAACATTCAGGTTTTATGTACAAAAATGTGCATTTATTTCTTTGTGTACAGATCCTCCCTAATGTTGGACTGTATAAACTCATGCAGACCCTGTTGCTTGAGTCTTTCGATTATTGTCGCCAAGCGCTCATCCTCCAGCCGTTCCTCTGCCCGCTCACGCATATCCAATATGTGCTGCTCCTTGACACGCTCGGTTAGCACGCGGCGTATCAGCTGGCGCAGCGACTTGTTAATCTCCAGGGTATAGTCGAGCAGCCTGACGTAGGTCTCGGGCTTGAGATAGCCACACTGTTGGCACTGCGCCAGCTGCTCAAAGGTGTCCATGCTGGCGTTAATCAACAGTCCATGCTCCTGTATCGCAGCTTCTTTGTTGCTGTCGCTGCTGCTGCCCACGAGAGCATTGCCGCCGCGATGTTGCCAAAGCAGTTCCTCCACCTTGGCACTGGGATTGACAAAGACATAGCCGCGGTAAATGCACGCCGTGGAGGCGGTTATCAAGTCATATGTGGATATGCCGCATTCGATCAGAGCCACGCCGCAGCAATTGATCGCGGTGCTCAGCAAACAACCATCGTCATCCAAGATGAGCACTCGGATGTCCAGCTGAAAGTTGAGGAATTCATTGCGGCAGACGAGCGGCTGCAGTGCCTTGGTCAGCATGCTGCCCAAATGCTTTTCACGCTCCGGCACCGATTCCAGCTCGCCGCTGGCAAAGGCCGCAAAGTTCACATAGCAATTGATGACGCCCATATTCACACGGCGGGCACTGGAACGGACGAGCTCACGCGGCGGTGCCACAATGGCCAGCACTTTTGTATTGCCATATTCCATGTACGCAGATCCACGTACCGTTGTCAGAACGCCGGCACGTATAACTGTAAATGCGATTTGATTGTAACGAAACGAATCCAGCAAATGATTTTTATTCTCGATACCCACAGGTGGAGCGAGGTGCAGCCACAACCTCGGTCGGCTTCTCTATGCTTTCGAAGAAATCCTCGCAATCCTTGGGCGTCGTATATAGTTGCTCGGCAATGGTAGCGCCATCGAGCAGCGTATTTTTGGTTTGTGTAATGCGCAACATTATTTTACAAAATGCCGCAAAATAAAAGCAAATAAAAACATGTGTTTTGAATATGCAGCCAGTGCTGAAAAATACGGTTCTACTGAAAAATGCGCTTAGAGCGAACAATCGATTTGTATCGATATCGCTATTGGGTGTATTAATGTGACGATGTCTCGATGTTTCTTACATCACTAATTACAAATAGTTGGCAACTCATGCTTTTGACAGCTCAAAAAGCGCTTTGTAATTCTGCTTAGTAGTAAAGAAAAGAAAACGAGAATAAGCGGAGAAAAGTGAACGCCGCATTATTGAAAAATACATTTTTTATATTTATAAATTCAACAAAGGGCCCCAGACGCGCAACGCACAGCATGACTGGTGAAACCAAGCTGGAGAAAAAGCCACTTGGCGATGCCAAGGAAACCAAAGGCAAGGCCCAAGATGCTGGCAAGGCCAAAAAGGATGAAAAGGAGCAGCAGCCAGAGCTATCCGACGAGGATCAACAGCTGCAGGAGGAGCTGGAGATGTTGGTACTGCGCCTGCAGGAAAAGGACAAGAAATTGTATCAGCCAGCATTGGAGATGATGGCCAAGCTGATACGCGCATCGACCACGTCGATGACATCGGTGCCAAAGCCACTGAAATTCATGCGTCCCCATTACGAAACCATGAAAACGGTGTACAAGCACATGCCCGATGAGCGCTCGCGCCAGCTGTGCGCCGACATCATCTCGGTGCTGTCCATGACCATGGGCAGCGGCAAAGATTGCCTGGCCTATCGTTTCCTCTGCGATCGCACGCAGACCATCGGCGACTGGGGTCACGAGTATGTAAGGCATTTGTCGGGCGAGATATCGGCCCACTATCACGACACTACGGGTGAGTTTCGCACCCAGCTAATCGAGCTGGTCAAGCAGATAATTCCGTACAATATGGAGCACAATGCGGAGGCAGATGCCTGCGATTTGCTGATTGAGATCGATCATTTGCATTTGCTGGCCGAATATGTGGACGAGTCGGCCTATCCGCGCGTCTGCCTCTATCTGCAGTCCTGCTATCCGTATGTGCCCGAGCCGGACAATACCATCATACTGGAGACGGCCCTGCAGCTGGCCCGCAAGTTCCATCAGCATACGCAGGCGATGCGGCTGGCGCTGATGCTTAACGATATGGGCAAGATTGGCGACATATTCAAGGAGCCCAAGGAGCCGGCCATGCAGAAGCAGCTCGCCTTTATGCTGGCCCGCCAGCAGGTGTGCCTGGACCTGGACGAGTCGCTATCGGACTATGATGATCTGATGGAGATTATGTCCAATGCCAATTTGAATAAGCATTTCTTGAATCTGGCCCGTGAACTGGACATCATGGAGCCAAAGACGCCCGAAGATATTTACAAGTCGCATTTGGACAATTCACGCTCGCGCTTTGCATCCATCCAGGTGGACTCGGCCAAGCAGAATTTGGCCGCCAGCTTTGTCAATGGCTTTGTAAATGCGGGCTTCGGCGTGGACAAGCTGCTCTCGGAGGATGGCAACAAATGGCTGTACAAGAACAAGGAGCATGGCATGCTCTCGGCCACCGCCTCCCTGGGCCTGATTCTGCTTTGGGATGTCGACGGTGGCTTGACCATGATTGACAAATATCTGTACTCCACCGACGACAACATCAAGTCGGGTGCCTTGCTGGCCTGCGGCATTGTCAACTGCGGCATACGCAACGAGGTGGATCCGGCTCACGCCCTGCTTTCTGACTATATTGATAATCAGAATACGTGCATGCGCATTGGTGCCATTCTGGGCCTGGGCATTGCCTATGCTGGCTCCAATCGCGCCATTGTCATCGATACGCTGAAAACGATCTTCGCCAGCAATGGCAAGACGGCTGCCAGTGTCGAGATTCTGGGCATAACTGCTCTGTCGCTGGGTCTGATAAGCGTTGGCTCCTGCAATGCTGAGATTACGGAGATCTTGCTGCAGACCATCATGGGTCTAACCAAGACGGATCTGAAGGATACCTATACGCGTTTCCTCTGGCTGGGCCTGGGACTGCTCTACTTGGGACGCCAGAAGTCCACTGAGGCTGTCATGATGACCCTGGAAGTGCTCGAGGAGCCGTATCGCAGCATGGCCACCACCATGGTGGATATCTGCGCCTATGCTGGCACTGGCAATGTGCTCAAAATTCAACAGCTGCTTCACATTTGCTCCGATCACTATGAGACCGCCAACGCCGACGAAGAGAAGGAGAAGGGCAAGAAGGACAAGAGCAAGGAGAAGGTAAAAAAACTCAAATTGTCTTGATTTAATCGTCTCCAAATTTGTATAACTTTTTGTCGTTGCAGGAAAAGGATAAGGAAAAGGAGAAGGAGAAGGAAAAGGAGCGCGAAAAAGATCTGTCGGCCACACAATCGATAGCTGTCCTGGGCATTGCACTCATCGCCATGGGCGAGGACATTGGCGCCGAGATGGCGTATCGTTCGTTTGGCAATCTGCTGCGCTACTGCGAACCGGCCATTAGGCGTGCCGTACCGCTGGCTTTGGGTCTGATATCGGCCTCCAATCCCAAGCTGAACATACTGGACACGTTGAGCAAGTTCTCGCACGACAGCGACGCTGAGGTGGCGCACAATGCCATCTTTGCCATGGGCCTGGTGGGCGCGGGCACCAATAATGCGCGTCTCGCCTCGATGCTGCGCCAGTTGGCCCAGTATCACTCGAAGGATCCGAGCAATCTGTTTATGGTGCGCATTGCCCAGAGTCTGACGCATTTGGGCAAGGGCACACTGTCGCTTAGTCCCTATCACAGTGATCGCCAGCTGATGAATCCCATGGCTGTTGCTGGTTTAATGGCCACATTGGTGTCGCTTCTTGATGTCAAGAATCTAATCCTGAATCGTTCCCACTATCTATTGTACACCCTGGTGCCGGCCATGCAGGCACGGATGCTCATCACATTCGATGAGGATCTCAGTCAGCTGCAGGTGCCGGTCCGTGTGGGCATTGCCATCGATGTCGTTGGCCAGGCGGGCAAACCGAAGACCATAACCGGCTTTCAGACGCACACCACGCCTGTGTTGCTGGCAATTGGGGAGCGCGCCGAGCTGGCCACCGATGAGTACATCTCGCTAACACCTGTCATGGAAGGATTTGTTATATTGAAGAAGAATCCTAATTTTGTCAAGTAGTCGCTTCTATTAATTAAGGCTATGTAAAGTTATGTCGCCCGATTAACAAACAAACCCAAAATTAAACCTAACCGAAAAATAAATGGTCGTCTCTTCATTGGCAATTAACGCATATGTCATAAATAAATAAAAATCTAAATATATTTACTTACGTATTAAAATCATGTCGTTCAACTGTCTGAAAGAGAAAGAAGAAGCATAAGGCGGCTTAGAGTAAGTGCAGGAAAAAGAGAGACGAATCAAGATGGCAGGCATACAGATTATTCAAATGCGTTGGCCACACTGTTGCCAGTTTAGCCTTTTTCTAGCTGAATGTGGCTATTTGCAGAGGTAATCAACTGTAAACAGTGGAAATTTTGGACAAATTCAGCTAACTAATTTAGCTAAATTTCTATTAAGCACTTTTTAGAGGGTATTATAATTGCAGAGGGTATTCAAATTTTGTCTCGTTATGTGTAACGCATATAAGAAGTCATCTCCGACCCTATAAAGTATATATATTCTTGATCAGTATCAATAGCCGAGTTGATATAGCACATATCTGTCTAACTGTTTCTATACGTGATGAAACTTTGCATATGTCTCTCTTTCTGTTGAACGCAGAACATATGTCGGAACCGACTGGATCGGAACATTATATAGGAACGATCAGTCGAAAAGTAGATCCATGTGAATAACTTTTTTGTTTAAGCAGATATCTTGACCAAACTCGACACTTCTTAGTTTCACTAACCCAAATCCTATCAACATCGGTTCACTATATCATATAGCTGCCATAGAAACGATCGGTCGACAATTAGGTACTTGTCTGGAAAACTTTTTTGTTTACCAAGTTATCTTACCAAAACTTGGCACTAATAAGTTTTAATATGTCCCCCATGTGAATAGAAAATCTCATCAACATCGGACCACTATATCATATAGCTGCTATAGGAAAGATCGTTGGAATGGTAGAACTAATATAAGGGAAAATATTCTGTTTTCAAAGAAGTCAGTATTTTCGAGCTGCATTGTTCTGTCATATCTGCAAAAGGGTATTAAACTCTTCGACATGCCGAAAATATTCTTAGATTATCGTATAAAGTAAACTTGATCTACATTTGGTAAAAGGGAATTTATACAAAAACGTAAAGTTAACGTTTTTTTAGCAAGAGTCAAGATTTCATCTAATTCTACGCCTAATTTTTGTTTACCCTTACTTTTATTATTTTATGATCAAATTAGTTAACGACTTCGTTTCCAGTTATGTCTCTTGATAGTATTATGCATGGTCTTTCGTAATGCCCGTGTCTCATGTGATTATGCAGACAGATCCCTAACAATTCGTCAAATCGATTTGATTGGGTCTGAGTAAAACTTAAAACTTGACATATTCAGCAATTTATTGAATGATTTTTAAGTGTAATTGATCGGACGAACTAGCATGGTAACGGATTTGAGAGTTCTGTCCCGATTCCAGTACATGCCCTGATAATTTTCGGTTTCATAGTTGAAGTACTTTCCATTCAGATTGCTGCTGCCTGCCAGATCCTTGGTATACCACCAGGCGCCATGGTAATAGGCGGCATTATTCTGATCCGCGGCATTGTCGTTATCCTGATCGAATGTGGAGAACTTCATGTGGACACTTTTGGAGAGCTTGTCATCGGCACTGCCGCTCATGCTGCCCAACTTTCTTAACTCGAACTTGGCGACTTCGTTGCCAATCTCGAAATGATTATAGCGAGCATAGCTGGTCTTTCCATTGAAGTCCTCCATGTGTATGTACAGCTCATGCGGCTGATAGCTAATCATGCGGTACAGATTCTCCAGGCCGATAAAGAATTCTGAGTTTTTTTGGCCAAAGCCCACGATATACTCCTGCCAGCTTCGGTAAAAGTCCACGCTGCCATCGAACCGGCGCTGGATGACCGTCCAGCCAGGACCTGCTATGCTGCCATCGCAGAGCACAGTGATCGGCTCCAGGCCAGGCAGTTGGATTGTTTGCAGGCCCGATCTATAGCCCATGGGTAAGCAGCTGGTGGCCGCCGCCGGTGGCTTCTCTATTGGCTGCGGAGTGGAGGATGCACCTGAGCCTGGACTGTTCTGGCCCAGTTGGGTGAGACATGTCTTCAGCTGCTGCTGAGCAACGTTCACCCGTGAGGTTTCATTATTGTTTAGCATTTGCTTGTACGTCTCGACGATAACCTTCAGTTCGCTGATCTTGCCCTTCAATTGCACGGCAGACACACCTGTGCACGCAGTGCTGCACTTGTTGGTCAGACCCTCATTGGTCTCTTTGAGGGACTTAATCAGTTCGTCCTTGTAACGATTCTCAGCCACCTTAATTTGCAGCTCGTTTAGTTTTTCTTGCAGCTTCGCATTTATCTGCTTAACGTTTTGCACCTGTACGCTTATCTGATTGGTCTACAAGGACGAATTGATTATATTATCATTAATCCTTATATGAATCAACTGCAACTCTCCTCTCTTACCGGCCATTGGGCATTTGCAGCTCCTAGCAGAAATCCAACCAAGGCAAGTAGCAGAGCGTTATGCATCTCTTCGGCTTTTTAGTTAAACTATTCCTTGACAGAGCAACAATTGAACTGAACGTGAGATTCTCAACTTTAAAGTACACGTTGGGCTTAAATGCATTTATGAGCTTAAACTGTGACCGTCAGACTTCGTAATATCATTTAAGTAGTTATGTAACTCCTACAGAATTTACCGTGAAGATCTATATATATATATAAGGCCAGGGTTTTCGACTTGCAAGTTAGGGAAAAGATTGGTCCATGTTTGATTGAAAAGCAGCAAAAACAAGTTATCTAAGCGTCGAACCAACAAGCGAGAAGTTGGCGGTTCAGATTTAGCAGAAATAGTCAGCTTGTGTAGTTCAGGCGAGAATTTTATTCGAGAATAAAGTCATCAAATCTTAACAAGCGACTTTTCCGATGGGATTACAGGCAACAAAAACCAATTACGATAATAAGAATATAGAAATCGGGTCTCAGCAGTTGTATAAACATTAATCTAGTAGCACGCATAAGTTATAAACAAAAGCCAGTATTATAGATTGCACAAGTAATCAAATTGTTTACTAATCCTTGCCGCGTGCCTGACTCGCGCACACTTCCTACATACAGGGTTAAATCATATGTTACAGTACATTACTTTGCAGGTATATATATATATATATATATATATATATATATATATATATATATATATATATATATATATATATAAATATATATTTATAAATGTGAATGTATAGTTATGTTTATTAATGCATTGCGCACTGAAATGTTTCGACAGTTGTCACTTGTGATTTCGCTTCCTCGCAATTTGATTCATAAAAACAATCACACGATAAACTTAACGACAATTTATGCAAAGTCGCAATTAACGTACAGAAGTTGAAATTGGTTAACATAGCTGAGCTCCTGAGTCGATTTAAGCACTGGACATTGGAGCTGGTGGCTGTGTTTGTTCCGTGCTGGGCGCTGCCAGCGGCGGCGGCGTTGCTTGCGTCTGTGGCGTAAACACATGTGCCATCTGCGGCGGCAGCGGTGTCGGCTGCGTGGGAAACAGACCTCCCATGGCTGGCTGCACCTGTGGATACGTGGGCACCGTCTGGGCAGCGGAGCCGGCTGGATACGAGAGAGCCGCCGGTGCCGACATGTATATCTGTTGCTGTTGCTGCGGAAGTGCGGCCATCGAGAACATGGGCACCGCCGGGGCTGGCAGCGTGGCTGTAGTCGCCTGTGGAAATGGTAATTGAGCGGCAGGTATGCCGCCAATGCCAACGCTCACGTTCGCATTCTGTTCTGGGGCATTGGGATCGAATACGCCGGGTATAAAGATGTTCGCTGGTGGCGCCACAGGCTGGGGCGGTCCCACGGGCTGAGGTGCGGCCACGGTTTGAGGCGGTGCCACGGATTGCTGCGGTGCTGGTGTTTCTGGTGCGCCAGTTGCGGCTGCTGGCGTTGCAATGCTGTCGGATGGCGCGGCCAGCTGCGGCTCATTGAGCGTTGCTTGGGTTTCGAGTGCAGCTGTTAACGCATCCGTGGCATCATCCGGATTGAAGTAGGTCTTGAATATGCTCTGTGCTGGCGGCTCTATAGTTGGTGGCCGGATCTCGGCGTTTGTCGAGCCAAATGTGTTGGCCAGTGGCGGTATATAAGGCAATGTTGGTGCAACAACGGCACTGGCCGCTGCGGCCGCAACGACAGGCGTCGTTACGGGATTAGCCGGGCCAACAGGTACCGCCGCAGCCGCCCCAGCTGATGGGGACGGCGAAGGTGCAGGCTGCACGGGTATGCGATGCAGATAGCCATAGCCAATGCCACAGCCCAGAGCGCCCTCGCCGCCCCAGGCAGTATTGGGCTTAATGGTTACTTCCCGGCAAGCATCGTCGTCCAGATTGTACACGTACATCTTGAGGGGCTGTTGCTCGTGCGTCTCGATCAGCGTAAACAGATCGTCGTTCTCATGGCGTATGGCATCGGCGCCAATCACATAGTCGCTGTAGGCGCGCAGGCCGGCCAGCTCGGCTGGTGAGTTTGGATGCACCTCCAGTATGTGCCAGACGCTCTCGTTGGCGCCCTCAAACGAACAGAAGCGTATGCTCACGCCCAGCAGTCCCTGGCCACCCCAGTTATTGCTGGGTGTCAGTGTGAGTTCACGGACAGTTTGTGTTTTGCTCGAATAGACTGTGATGCGAACAGGTTTATCAACGTTTTGACGCAGCAGCTCCTTGAGCATGTCATTGTCCTGGTCCAGACGTGTGCCTGCTATGGCCACGATAAAGTCAAAGAATGCCTCCAGGCCAGCCTTTTGGCCGGGCGAGTTGTCTTGCACCTTGAGTACGTGGTAGCCTATTGTTGTTAAAATGAAAATGTGTGTTTGTTTTACTTGAATGTCATTGTGTGCGTGTGTGCATATGATTGGTTCTCGGTTCTTCTGCATTAATTGAGACCGTTTACGTGGTTGTGTACGTTACCTTCAGTGCCACCGCCGGGTACATGAACGCTGTGACTTGATCCCATTGTTTTCTCCCTTTAAGCAACAAATATAATAATGACTTTATTTGCTGACTATACAGCTAAAATTGTTTAATTTTGATGCGGCACTAAAGAGAGTTCTGTTCTTCGTGGCAATTTTTGTGGTACGGATTCCAGTGTTTTAAATGCTCTCGGTCAATGCATCTCGCTCACACAAGTACCAGGGCTGCACGACTTAAATAGCTTGTTATCGATATTCGTTTTCTGTTCTTTACACATTTATTATTATGTTAAGTTGACAGCAAGCATAAGACAGATGCGGGATAACTTTACATTTATACAGATTCCCGTCCGCCCAATGGAACATCCGCATCTATAAAATATTTGCTTTCAGGTGTTTATATTTGATTTCAAGTCAATGCGGATGTTTATTAAAAATGACAAACAGTAATAAATAATCGTTAGGCAGATGGTTTCACTTCATGGCAGCTGCGACTTGCCATTGCTGCTGGTACTTGGATACAGCTTCGCGATGTTTCAGCATATCCTTCTCCCTGCAATAAGAATATTTGTTGCTAATACTTGTAACTGGTGCTAAACGGTACACGTACATATTCTCCAGTGTATCCGTGAAACTTTTCAGCTCCTTCGAGATGTACTCAATGCGTTTGCCAACGTTTTGCCGCGAGTCCTCCAGCTCTTGTTTCACCAGAACTGGTCCAAACAATTTGTACACTTTATTGTCGGGCCCAAGCAGATTTAGTTCATCCAGCACACACTTGTTCTCATTTAGCTGACTCTCTAGGAGTGCCCGCTGCTTAACTATTTTAACACAGGCTGTAACAAAATACATTCGGATTTATGTATATTGCCTGCCAGAGACTTAATTAATTTGCTTACATTTTTGTAGGTTTTGGTATGACTCAACCTCTGCTTGCATTTTTTTATACAACGCTGCACTGTTTTTATCCATTTTGCTTGTTTTCTATGCGGGATTTATAAGAATTCTTGAAGTTTTAAAAACAGTTGCCGGTTTGCGTCTGTAAAACAATTTGTTTAACCAAATTAGAACAATGCTTCTGCTGTCTCACAGTTGTCTGCGGGTATGAAGCTGCGAGTTATTGCTGCGTGTTGTTGGTTGAAAGTACTATTCAATACAATAGCGCTAGTAAATTTAAGTTTTTTATATTAAAATTTACCTCCTTTAAAAGAATTTAATACAAAAATTAGGAAATACTACTCAGAGCTGCAAACCAACAGTGCACGCTTTTATGTTAAAATTTGGCGTTGCCAGACACAGAATGCAACACTTCATAACAGCTGACAATAAATTCAATAAAAAATGTAAGTACAGACACTGTTAATAACTTTTTTAAGTTTAAAAATATATAAATATTTGTGACAAATATCAAAGAAAACTAGATTTGCTGAAACAACAACTAATAAAATGGTTTTAACATTAATTTATAGACGTTACAATGTTGTAAAACGCTTCAGGGGTGTGTTTCAGTCGCAGGGGTAAAACGCACGGTACGATTTACTAGCTTTGCTGTATGAGGATATATTTTCTTTATGTTATACACCAGTATATCACAAACAAAACAAAGATTTAGCTAAAAATGTAAATTTAAATATAGCAGCATGTTCGTGTGATAATAGTCCTTGTCAATACTAGTTGTGCGAGCACGCATCATTCAGTCGTATCGTTGCGCGGCTCCTATAATAACACCAGAAACGCTGCAACAAAGCATACGGTTTCGCGCCGAAAAAGAAAACGGCGAAAAACACGAAGGAAAAGCCGAAAAATAGAAACAACTACAATTTTACGCACTAAACAAACATAAACATGTTTTAAACATAAACATGTTTTAACAATCAATAGTTTGTTTGCTGAAATTGCAGCAACGCTACAGGCAGCAGGGCGAAGTGTGTGAGTGCGTGTGCAAGCAAGCGGCGCGTTTGTAAAACGGCTGAGGTAGAGGCCCTCCCTCCTTCTGCACCCCCTCAAAACACAATGGCACCCACAAAGAAACGCGAAAGAGACAATGGCGATGGTGCGGGCGTTGTAGCCAACAACATAAACGGCCTAAACAATGGCAGTGGACATGGCTCAGATGTTGCTACAAACGAAGCGTTGGCAGCGCCAGCGGCAGCAGCTGCTGCATTATCAACGACACTTAACCATGAAAGCCATGCAAAACTTAACGGACATCAGCAAGAGCAGGAACTCTTCTTACAGGCATTTGAAAGTATGTTTGTATATCGTCCGTTCAGACTAATCACAGTGTCTAACTAATCAATAAACTTTAACAGAACCCACACAGATCTATCGTTACCTACGCAATCGCCATGAGACAAACGTAAGCTAAATTATTGCTATTACATACATGTCCAGATTTATGCATCTATTATATTGCAGCCCATATTTCTAAATCGCACGCTCAGCTATATGAAGGAGCGCATGTCACGGAACAACAAGAAACGCGCCAGTTTCAAGATAGACTCCATACTGGACACAATTACCCAAAAGTCTGAGGCTGTAACCCAAAACTACCTGCATGTTATCTATGACTCCCTGCATGAAAAGCTTAAACCACAAGACAACGATGAGCTGCTGAGGCAGGCGCAGGAGCAGCTGCTCTGCCAGGCGGGTGAAAGGGTCTGTGTGGAGACAACACTTTATAAGATAACGCGCAGCAAGCGCAAGGATAGCACACTAGACTTTCAAGAGCTACTGAGCAAGAGCTGCCAAATTGTTTACAATCCCAATGAAGGCATCGATGAGCATGCCACCATCAGCATACCCTTGCAGACAATGCGACCCATGGGTGATCAGCATACGCTCTACAAGCTGCTCTTTCGCATTAAGATGCAGCCCCAAACGTGCAACGATGAAAATGCTGGTGAGAAACAACTTAACATAATGCACATTGTATCGAAGAATGGGACATTTATTTATGTTTATTTTTGTCAACAGCTACACCGCCGAGCAAACGACCACGTAGCAATGAGAAGATGTACGGCTCGGAGTTGATTTTGTACGAGAAGTCGAGTGGTTTCATCACCGAAGGCGAATACGAGGCGATGCTGCAGCCGTTGAATTCATCTAGCATTAAGTCGTTCTCACCAAAGAAATGCACCTGGGAGACCATGCCCGATAGCTACATTCCACTTTCGCTGACCTACGATGTGTACCAGCAGAGTCCCATGCTTAAATTCCATCTGACTTTGTCCAATGAGCAGTTGCCCGACATAATTGCCGCACCGGAGATACAACGCTATGTACATCATTTGGATGCCGAGGCGGATCTTAGTCACATGAATATCAACAATAACAACAACAATAATAATAACAATAACAATTGCAGCGGCCTAAAGAACGGCAGCATTTGCAAGGCAGTGCCGGAGCACATACAAATCGTCTACAATTTCATGTACAGCAACAACACACGCCAACAGACGGAGTACACTCAGGAACTGAACTGTCCATGGTGTGGATTGGACTGCCTGCGTCTGTATGCGTTGCTTAAGCATCTCAAGCTGTGCCACGCACGCTTCAATTTTACGTACCAGCCAGCGGGCACCGGCGCTCGCATCGATGTGACCATCAATGATACCTACGATGGCTCCTATGCTGGTTCACCCTATGATCTGGCCGGTCCATCGGGCTCGTCGTTCGCACGTACCTGTGGTCCGGTTAGGCGCACCTCGGTCACTAGCTTAATGGTATGTAGGCCCAGACGCCAGAAGACCTGCCTAGATGAATTCCTGGAGTTGGACGAGGATGACATCAGTAATCAGCGTTCGTACATAACTGGACATAATAGGTGAGCAGTAAAGCTAAGTAAAATGATTCTCTTCCAGAGCATTCCTAGTCTAGTTGCGGTTTTGGTATAACAATTGATGATCCATTCCCACAGGTTGTACCATCATACGGAGACTTGCCTGCCGGTGCATCCTAAGGAGCTAGACATTGACTCTGAGGGCGAAAGCGATCCACTTTGGCTGCGCCAAAAGACCATACAAATGATCGATGAGTTCTCCGATGTCAACGAGGGCGAGAAGGAGCTAATGAAGCTTTGGAATCTGCACGTGATGCGCCATGGCTTTGTCGGTGACTGCCAGCTGCCATTGGCCTGCGAAATGTTTCTGGATGCCAAGGGCCATGAGATTGTCCGCAAGAATCTCTATCGCAATTTTATTCTGCACATGTGCTCGCTGTTCGACTACGGCCTGATTGCGGCGGAGACGGTGTACAAGACGGTGCAAAAGCTTCAGGGTCTGCTTAGTAAATATGCTGCCGGCCAGGAGCTAATGCAGCGACAGCGTGAGGCGCAGCTCAAATACTGGTTGGATGTGGGCATGCACAAGAAGCAGGATGATCTTAAACACAAGTCGCCACAAAAACCAACGGCTAACTCCAGCAACGATATGCCAACTACCTCATCAGGCAGCACTGCCAGCGCCATGCAGCCACCCAAGCGCATGCCAGCTAATCTTAAACGGGCTAATGCCGCCGCCGCCTCCGCGGCTGCAGCAGCGCTTGACGGCCAGGATAGCGCTGCTGCCAATGGCAACAGTAGCAAGAATGTGGCCAAGAAGAGTGCCGACCAACCCGTTACCGCTAATCTGGCCAATACGCGCGAGCGCCGATCCGATCCGTGCCTAAAGCGAAGCGCTAACAGCGGACGCCTCAGTGCGCCCGATAGCAGAACTGCCAGCTCTTTAGCCAAGCGCAAACTGGGCGCTAAAGGTAAGTGAAGGCCAGACATGGCCTGCTCGAATTTCAAGCACATAACATTCATCAATCATCATAGTCGCATCATTCTGCTTTATCATATTCATGACTCATTTGTCTTTGAGTAATGAGAGTACAATTTAAATGTATTCCTTTTTTCCGCCGAGTTCTTAAAGAATGCTAACAATGAACGCAGTTTCACAGATTGTCATTTAACCGCTTTTTTAACATATTGTACCGGCTCCGTAATACGGTTTCAAGATTAAATTATAAATAGCTTTGCTTGTTCCCATTTAAAAAGAAAACACCCAGTTCAAAGTTGACCAAAAGCTTTGGACTCTTTACCCAAGTGTCTCTATTAGTCGCCTCGTACGACAAGCGGGGACATGCTGTGGAGGTATTCTGTTGCCCGCCAACCACACGGGTGATATCTGGACACATGTACATAATCCTTAATCATTCATGCAAATACACACATACTCGTACACAATCATTACACTGAAGGATCACTGCGCCATCGCCATCGTCATGTCCATGAGAGGTTCTCATTGATAACGCCAAAAAAAAAAAAAAAAATATATATATATATATAGTAAAAGAGAAACACCTAAAAATGTATTCAAAATTTGTATCAAAATTTGTATTATGATGGCAAATTGCCCAATGTTTTTTTTCTCTCTTTCTCTTTGTTTTCTATTTTTTGTTTGTTTTGGATTTACATTTATTGTACTGTGTGCTTTGGCTAACAGCAGAAATGGCTGATGTGGAGCAGTTGGAAGAAATGGCCGCTATGGACGTGCCTCAGGTTTTAGCTGCTGCTGCTGGCAATGACAATGACAATGACAATGGCAATGGCAATGGCAATGAGAATGGGAATGGTGTTGATGATGTTGAAGATGCAGCAGTTAATCAGGTTGATGTTAATGATGATGATGATGATGTAACTGGGAATTCTACTGCCCCCGTTTATGATAATTAAGTTAGCAAATGTAATTCGTAATTCGCATTTAACACTTGCATTCATTTTTCCAACTATTTAACACACACACACTCTTTCTCTCTACACACACACAAACACGCTCACACACATACACAGATACTGCTGTGATCAGCAAACGGCAGCGCTATAGCGACAGCAGCGCCAGCGTCGGCATGGGAGCCAGCGGTAACGGTTCATCGACACGCAACAAAAGCAATAATCATACACTGCCAGCAAACAGCAACAACAACAACAATCGACGTCGCTCTGCCATGGAGCGAAGCAGAGCGAACAGCACTGCCGGCGGCAGCGCAGCGACGTCTCATGGGCTGCGCACACGGCTCTCAGTGCCAGTAACCAAGTACGAGAGGCGCTGACGCAAGCGGCGCTGCTGCTGTTGCTGCTGCTACTGAAATTCAACGGGATGAAAAGGGACGACAAAATGGCGGACGATGGCGTTTCGTTAGATTTGATAAGTTAATAATTATAGATTTTCGATATCCCGTTCTGTCTATGAAAAAAATGATACTTTTTTATTATAATTACTATTATTATTATTATTATTATTAGTGTGTTGTGTTAATTTTATCCAATTTAACGTATTGGACAACTGTAAAGTCTTGAATTCACTTAACCTCATTTCAAAAAAAAAAAAAAAAGAAAAATCAAAAATCATTTTCAATTTGAGGTAAAAAATAATTAATGCACCGATATACATATATATTTTAATGGAAGGTTCTTAACAATTGCTACGGACAACAAATAACGCATATTTCCATTTAAAGAATTTTAATAATTACTTACGATTCTATTTTAAAACCATGTACATTGCAAAATGAATTTGTGTATGCAAATCTATTGAATTCTATACGAACTCAATATTTATAAAGTATATTGTAATTAGCACAGATGACATGTATTAAGAGAGTTTACAAAATAATTAAATCCAAAACAAACAGTTTAGGAAATTAATAAACAAAAATCTACTTTAGGATCGCCGAATAAAATGTTGCATATATTTTTACAGTGCACTTAAACTTGTTTCTATGGTTGGGAATATTTGAATAAACTTTATATAACGATGGCTTCTTAGATTAGCTAGAAATTGGGCCATAAGGCAAGGAATGCTGAACGAAATAAATATAGTATACGTTGAATATGCAAAAACCGATGAAAAGGGATTCATCTGAAATAATTGAGTGTTATACTAAAGCATTCAATCTTCAATTGAAAGTAGCCGAGAATCTATGCAAGGACGAACTAATAAGGTCTCTCAGATGGACAATAAAGATAGATTAAAAGATGAAGAGTGTGAGATTGGAAATAACTGTGATATTATGCTCAGTTTGGAAGTGAAAATCAGATAACTAGAAAACTAGCTGCTCCACTAACTATTTAAATAAAGTGTAAGACCAATTAAACATCTGATTCATACAATATCCATACAGATCGCCGCGGAGGGATTATCAATCAAAGAGTCAATGGTTCTGAGAATTTTTTATAGAAATTGAGCTGATTACCATAACGTGTTGTTCAACATAATTAATATGAATAGTTTTGGAGAATCTCCATCGCATTCCGAGTGACAATCCTTGCGGGCTCTATGGCCAGAAAAGGTATAATTTTGTTGCCTTTGGAGGCGAAGCTTCACAGTACCAGCTCATGGAACTGCATGATATGGAGTTCTTGGAGACCATATGAAAAATCAAGAACCAAGAAAATATACAACTTATGATTACAATAATGATGACTGGGAGCAGACTAGGTTTTTAAATATGTTTAGCAATCTTAAGGGTAGATATATAAATATGCGCATACAGGACAAGCAAGGATTGCATATGAACTCTTAAAACTGTAACCATGCTAACAATTCTTACTCTTATCTTAGCGTTAGAGTTTGATATCAATATGTCTATTTATTCTATTAATTTACAAAGTTTGCTTATGTTATAAACTACAAAACAGGCTTCACGTCGTTGAGCTGCACAGTGTGCCTGGCCAAATTGGTCTGCCTTTCCTCATTAAACTCCAGCAGAGTTCGCTGCAGACGACAGCGCAAAATATTTGCATCCTCTTCGCGCAGTGTTTGCAATTCACTGAGCAAAAATGCCATCAAGGCCTCGTTCCTATCCGGCGATTGAAAGTGGGTTTCTCCTAGCTGACATATGGGATTGGCCACATCTGCGGCTGATCCTGTGATACTTTGGTTTAAAAGAGTCTCCGAAAATGTGGCCTTGGGCAATGAGGAGTCGGCTGTGACTGTTTCAACGCCAGACAACGATGCGGTGTCCAATGCACTGTCATTGCTGTCCTCAATGGAGCATATGGATGTAGATGGCGTGGGGCTTTTGGCAGGAGCAGCCGCTTCAGGCGGACTCTTATCGATAAACGAAAGTGTCTTAAAGTATTTCCAATAGAACATTTTGGTTCTTTGGCATTGACGATATTGTGATCGTAGGCTCGTCCACTTTGCTTGTAGTTCAACATCATCATATTGGCCATTGAATTCAGCGGCTATTCTTGACCAGGCCTCCTTTCTTTCATGTTTATTGGCATTCCTTATGTTGGGCGAGTTCCAAATGCATAATTCCTTTTTCACCTCGCGTATTAGTTTATAAATGTCCTTTGTCTGCCAGATTGCTTTTACTTTTGGACGCTTTGAATTATATATTTTCTTGATCACCGCTTTGTCAGCAACAGCTGCTTTGTTCTCTTTCTGTTTCTTCATTCTATGAAATATAGCAATTGGAGCACTATTCCAAATTGTAGCAAAACAAAATTGGTTTGTCCGCGTATTTAAATTTACTTTCAACAAATGGCATGCATTTCCACAACAAAATGGTCAATGCAGAAATTCGACCTATCGATAAGAAACAAAAATCATCGCTACGCTCTGTAAACTGGGGATGTAACTCTGTTAAATAGGAAGAAGTCTGTTAAATTTCAAATGCCTACATTACGGTAAATGTTTATTTCCATTCATTTGCAACCCAAAGTTGATATTTCTTTATTTAAAAAGACTAGATGTAAATGTTTAACGAGCTCGAATTTATTTTATATAATATTTGTTAGACGCGTCCAGTAACATTTGTTTATTTGCTGTAAGAAAAATGTTTTGTATTAATTCAAGTCAAAATATTCCATAATTGAAGTTGGGGTTTGCTGAAGCCAAGCCGTGATAAAAACAAAAACTACAAATCATGTTGATTGTTTTGGCATGTGTGTATAAATGCATAACACAAAATCATTAAAGCTGTGGGCCAACAATATCGGAAGCTTAAGAAAATAGATAATTTTGCCATATATTCTATATGCACAAAATAATAACAGTGAAAACCATCTAATAACTAGTCTTGCAAGCACCTCATCTGAAAGTATTTCTCATCGATGAAGCGACAAAATGCCACCAGATGCCCAAATTTTTGCACTGTTTGTGCCAGCGCCATGTTGGGTAGCCTCGTTGTCAATATGGTGAATAAATGGCCAAAGGCAATGGCATCCAGTTCACATGGCTGGTCACCAAAGAAGAAGGGCGTATCTGGCGATTCTTTCAGTTTATATTCAAGCGTCTCACAGCATTTGGCCACTTTCTCGATGACATGATCGATGCTCAGATCGTGCCATTGATACACCTTCAGTTGGCGCAGTGCATTGCGACGTTTGCTATAGTTTTGTATTATGTTTAATGGCCAGGGGTATACGGCTCCATTGCGGGGTGCTGTTATCTCTTTGTAGACGCGCTCGTTCTTGAAGCTAACATACAATTCCGCCATGGTAAAGATGTTTTCCACTAGCGAGACATATGTACGCATATCCGCCTTCTCGTCTTCATCCTGCCAGCTGCCTATTGCCATGTCCTTCTGTTCCACAAAGTTCACAATTGGCTCAAATTCGGCAAAAATGAACGCGCCCGCGCGTATAAATGGCAATTTGGTCATCCGGCCGCCGGGTGACATGTGCTCCGCATTTGCGCAAGACCGAACGCCAAAGGGCAGATTGCACATCTTCAAATATGCCTTGACAGCCAGGCAGCTAGCGTTCTCCGGCAATAAAATTTGTTCCGCCTCAAAGGGCTAACGGGATGGTATAAAACATATTTATATCAGATTTGACTTTTGCCGCGTCCATCCTACCTGATAGAGTGTGGCATCTTCGGGCCAAGGCTCCTCAGCCAGTTTGTCGGCGGTGTGAAATTGATTCAAATATTGGGAACTTTGCATTTTTAGTTGATAAATATTAAGCCTTTTATGCGGCGATGAAGTAATAATCAGCTGTCCAAGCAGAGGTTAACAACACTGGCAATGGTTTCCGTGCACAGCGGCAAAAAAACAAATGCTAGTTATAGTATTAGTGACAATATTTGTGTTTTTGGCAAATAAACCATTTGAAACACTAATTATTGATTAATATTCGTAGATCGTTTTGACTATTAAATTTTAATTTGGTTTTTATATGAAGTAATTGTTGCAATATAAATGAATTATAAACTGATAGTTATTTGTAACAAAATAATCGTACGACGGGACTCGATACTTTTGCATACTTTTCTCAAGTATCGGGTACGTAATTTTAACGCTCATCTCTAATAGATTGTCACAGCTTGAACCTCTTGCTGCTCGTGTTTTGTTGTTTTTGCTTGTTTATAATAAAGTATTAAAATTATTTGTAATTGTAAAAAAATATCGGCAAAATTTTTGAGTACTATAACTATACTATATAACTAATATTTGGAGAATACAAAGGTGAGTTTCCGGTTAGTACGTATACGTGTAAATATATGCAAACGTATGTGTGAAGGCAAAAGAACAGTATAAAAATCAGTATTAAGTGAAAAGTTAAAAGCATTCGCTTATCTGCTAGCAGGAGCTGCGCCACTCCCGAAAAATTTGCTGGCTAATAATCAAAAAAACGCTATTTATGCCGGCCTTACTGCGTGCGTGTGTGCGTACATGCGTTTGTGTTGGTGTGCGTGATTCATGCGTCTGGGTCTCTGCCGCGGCGTGCCGTGCATTTTTTTTTATCAGGCTGCCCAAGCAGCGGCGTCATCACGGTGTTCATTTCCTTGAACTGTTCCCTCAGTCAGCATCGCTCACAGTTTGACGGGGGGTCGTCTATGTTCATTTTCCCAATTTCGTGGGTTTCTCGTTTGCTTGTCTGGATTTGATGTTTGAAATTTGTTTCGTTTGATCGTTTTGGCTGTTTTCAAATGTTGTTATTTCGCTTGCTCTTTGGCCTGTTTATTTTGCATTCACACTTAATTAATTTTCGTTTAGTAACTCAATTCAAATACACTGGAATTTGCCAAAAAAATAAAAAAAAAAGTGTAGAATTTATTCTAAGAAAAAGTATATATATATTTCTTGCTTTTTTTCTTTCTTTATTTGAGTAATATGTATGTACTGAAAATATCAAAGCAAAATTATACAAAAGTGAATAAAAATACAATTTTATTATCTCGATTGTCGCAGGCCATGCGTCACAATAACAATTACAGTACCGAGAATAAGTCAGCAACTATATTTAATTTAATACTTAATGCATTTGATTAACCCATTCAAACCAAACTAGGAAATATTGTAATTGAAATTGAACGAAATTATCGTTTCACAGAAATGGAAATGGGTATTTAAAACAAAGCAACCTCCATGCAGATAATGAAAAACAAAGCCAACAACAAACTCAGATAAAGAATACAAAAAAACAAAAAAAATGTAAAATGTTTGCGTGTGGGGGCTATCGTAGTCGTAGTCAACCCATTCTGGTCAATATTATTCAATGTCGGTCCGACCACCTCCTCGTCCCCTCCTCAACCCAGCAACAGTGTTCGCTCTATCGCTGTTAATATGTTTCTGCCTTATCTGTCCATGCGGGCCCGTATTTGGCCAGTTCTCTGCACATACACATGTATGTATGTGCACATACAAATAAATTCATGTATGTGTATGTGTGTACATATATATATATATATATATGTTTGCATACGAAGCCAGCTGCATCCATGTGTTGACCAGCTTTCTTTCTGCTCCTGCAAAGTGTGGCCAAAGTAGCGTTCATTTATGTGTTAATAATTTGAATTTAATCAATATTATTGAACGAAAAAACAAGCATATATAGTGTTACGCTGGGTTGGGTATTTGTAGCATACACATTTATTATTTAAATTAGATATTTGTTATTAAAAGTATATATACGTTCATTCATAGGTATATATTTGTAAGAAATATGTGCCATTATGCTCCGCAAGCAAAAGAATTCCTTAACAGCATTGCACATTTATACTTATGTTATTAACATTTCCTTACTCTGGATTACAGTTAGAGTGCCATGGCCGAAACAGAGACGCACCAACATGCTGATCCACATGATGAGGATGTGCACGATGCCAATTATCAAGCCCCACCTGAGAAGACTATTGAAGATCTGATGGCTGCCGATCAGGAAGATGAGAGTTTGCGACGTTATAAGGAGGCTTTGCTGGGCGCAGCGCAAGCGGAAAAGATTATTGTTGGTCAGTATGGACAAAGATTAAGATTGAACAAGTTTGGTTAACAATATATTTTTTACACCCATAAAGAACCGAATGACAGCCGAAAAGTTATTGTTAAGAAGCTGGCGCTAGTCGTCGAAGGACGCGATGATATGGAATTGGACTTAAGCGGCGATATTAGTCAGCTCAAAAAGCAGGTTTGTTTTATATTTTACACTCTCTTATGCAGTCATAACTGATTTTTTGAACTTTAACTCAGCTCTTTGTGATCAAAGAAGGTGTTCAATACAAGGTGCGGATCGATTTTATTGTACAACGTGAAATTGTGCATGGCCTCAAGTATGTGCAAAAGACCTACCGAATGGGTGTGCCAGGTAAGCATCATATCATCATATCATCCACACAAACTGACTAAAAGGGAACTTTGCGAGTTGTGGGAATCATGGCTGGGACAACAGATATCTGATGTAACTAAGCAATCACCTGCTGCTTATATATCTATATATATCTCAGGCAATGTTTGATTTTGGTAAATGATACGTGCATAACACCTGTCCAGTGTCAGTTGGCGCTGCCCAGCTCAGTGTCGGCACTTGACGGGCTTTCAATGGTCGCAGACACATTGCTGTATCTCTTAGCTAGTGTTAGTACCTTTTATACCTTCAAGCAAATCAGATTAGATATTTTTGTACAATGGGCAGCAGCTTCGATGGCACAGCTTTGCTGTGCGGGTTATTCAGTGTAGCCTACATAGTTGTTATAACATTTGCAATATTTACAATACTAATGTGCTAAAACAACATTAAATGCGAAATTTGTTTGTATTTGATTGCCTAACCCATGCTGGATAATTAATTCATATAAACCTAAGTTGTTGGTAAGCCCTTGCTTTGTCGCTTTACAATAGTTATGCTTAAAATAATAATCGTATTTTCTAATAAAAATGTTTTATTTTTCGCAGTGGACAAAATGACGCATATGGTCGGCTCCTATCCCCCCAAAAAGGAAATACAATCCTATTTGACGCCAGCTGAGGAGGCGCCCTCGGGCATGGTATCGAGGGGCACCTACTCCGTATCGTCGGTTTTTACGGATGATGACAAGCACATACATCTTAAATGGGATTGGACCTTTGAGATCAAGAAGGACTGGGCATAAGACATACCACCCACCTACACACACACACACACACACACACACACACACACACACACACACACACACACACACACACACACACACACACACACAACTTCGCACAGACACTATACACACAGCCACACAAACATGCACACGCATACAACTTGTCCCAAATTAATGTAAACTATTTTTTGTGAATTTGGTAACAAACAATGTTAAGCAAAATTCCTGTTTGTCAAGTATTTTTGTTAACGGTATTACCTTAAATGTTTTTGCAAATATGTAAATGAAGTCGTAAAAAGTATTTTTGATACAATATAAATGAAATGTGTGTGTTAATAATAAGTACTTCACGCCTATGTTGCTTAATTAAAGCAAGTCAGTCAGTCAGCCAGTCAGTTAATCAATCAATCAGTCAGTCATTTGTACCAATTTAACTCAGTCAGTTCTAAATGCCATTGGATATGTATAACATAAACTTTCAAAATGTTCTTAAAACGAGCGATAAACTTTAAGAAAGTTTTGTGCATTTTGCCTTGTATTAAAAGCGTAAACGTAATGAATGCCTCCTTGATTCGATTCGATACGTATTAAGGAATTCGTTTAAAAATGAAAATAATATCCAAAAAGATGTTATCCACCGCATCTTTAATATATACACTATATGTATTTAATGTAAGCGTAACTGTTCAATGCATTTGATAATTAATTGTAAAAGCCAGAACATGAAAGAGCTCGTTCTGTATTCGATTCTTACTATCTGCCTGTGTAATTTGTGAACAATTTAAGTGAATGCAAGCAACTGAAAAGCAATGAGAATAAAATGTATTAAAATGTATAACACATCACATCTTTTCGTTTATTACTTGAATTTGAATATTAAGTGAAAGTTGCGCATACGCCACGTATGCATACAGAAAATGTATACGAACATTTTGTGCAGGGCGTAGCGAGAACGAGAGAGCGTTTTGCTAGCTTTCGCTTAGGATTGTGTTCAACTTGTTGTCCTGTGTTAATGCAATTTAAATTACACAAAATAATACATGAAATATTTAAATGTACATTTGCCAAAAATATAAATGGACAGTTCAAAATCATGGGATTGCTCCAGGAAATGGCGTGAGAAACAAAACGAATTGCGTGTAATGGGACATTTATATCATAAAAGGCCTGTGGCAATTTTTTTGTAAAAACAACAAACAGGAAATTGGTCAGAGTAGAGATTTTTTTTTGTTATTTCGGACAGCATGCACAAATTATGTTTGTAGAATAGTTAGGATAAAGTATAGAAACAAACAAATAATGTGGCGTAATTCAATTTTGAATTCAACTAAATGCAAGTTCGCTTTTCTGCTGCCCTTTGACCGTAATGGATGGACAGCAAGCAGCAGCTGCATCCCAGCAGCTCCTCCTTAGTCCATATTTGGCCTTGACCCGCCCTCACACTTTTTACAGCACGAAAAAGAAGCAAGACAAGGGAAAAAGGGTTAGAATATTGACCTTTTAATAGTGCTCGGCTTGGTAATGTCCTACGTCTGGTTTTTGATTCAATAAAACCTTGGGTTGAGTATAATTGAAAGAACCTTCGAAATTCGAAAGTTTAAGGGTTTTCCCTTACTTACTCTGCATGTCCCTCTACATGTCACATATTCCTTCTTATTTTTGCATGTATTATATAATATCGGAACCCATAATACCCTGTTTAAGGCTAAACAGGGTAACAAATGGATAGCGCGAACATTCTACCCGTACGGAGGCATTTTAAGTGCAGCTGCTGCGAATGGCTTCTGAGCGCTTGCTACCTGTATATATTAATTTCGTGAAAGTTATATTTGTATTTATAGACTGTTTTGCTACTTTTGCAAAATCCGTGTCTGTTGGCCATTATTCACGCATAAATATACTGTCATATTTGACTTTTAGTTAGAGCTAATAAAGCTAAAGAACCTACGCATAAAATTCAATAACGCATATTGTCCCTTTTGCTGGGCTTAACTGCCAAATGTGTCCATTAAAAGTTAATTGAATATGCCAAAAGATTTGTGCGTGCGGTTCATTTCGTATGCCGAGACGCAAGCGAACGTGTAAAAGTTTTGGGGACCTGCGTTGCGCATGATGAATTTAATTTGGTTAGTTTCCAAAAGACAACTTATTGCCTTTATTAAATGTCCTGTATGCGGCAAATATGCCTTGCGGGTATATTCATACCTGTACGCAGCTCCTGTGCTCATAGTTTACATAACTGAAAAGGAGTTTTCCCTTTGTTAACTTTAAATGACAGTCAATAATAGTCATAAAGTGCCTAAGTTATGCAATACAAATTGCCTATTAACGTTTTTTATGCTTACAATCAAAGGCCAGTTTCCGGCAAACCAAAAAAGGTCAACATATACAAAGCTTACGGCTTCTGGCTGGGCATGGCTTTAAGCAGCTTCCAATGCACGGAGGCCGTTTAAAGGTATCTTTCAGGCACGCACTGGCCACGCCCACTAAAGAGCTCAAAGAGCGGACAACAGATTTATGTCGGAGCCAGACAGGGGCATAGCAAGAGGCACAGACATCCTGCAAACAGGACACATTTCTTATTTTTTTCGCTGGTTCTCAAAGTTTGTGTCTGATGGATGCCGTTATTTTTGTTCGCTTCTATCGAACAGAAAAATAATTTGCGTTTATATTGAATTTCACTCTGCTGCTTTCGTTTTGAAAAATTGCTGGATTTATGCATATATTTATTCAAATGAGCCAACTCATCTACATTTTTGTGGCATTGATTTTAGACATTAAAGAAATTCGGTTCAGCAGTGAAATCGTATGATGTAAGATGAAACAATTTGTTGATGTTGATTGTTTAATTTGCGGCCAGACCCAATTTGATAATCAACTCTACAGGGTATTCAAAGAATCAAAGATTTGGTAGTCCACAATTTGACGAGTTTTTGGGTTTCGACTTTAATACTTAAATTTTATCGTGGCCAGAAAAGTTATTTGTTAAGATAGTTACAAGCTGCGCAAAATGTACATTGCCAAGCTTTGAGGGTTCTGTGTGAATAAATAAAACCAAAGCACACTAATGGGCGCAATACATGGTAAATATGACAGCTGTTGACACACACACACACACCCACACACACACGCGCCCGCAACAACATGCTGTTGTTGTTTTTGTGGCCTTTGTTGACTGTGCAGTTTTCTAATTAAGTCGGGCGTACTAATTAGAGCACATTCTGTAATTAGCATACATGCTGTACCCAACTGATGTTGTTCCCGTACTTTATGGGCCTTTGTTTTATTTTTTTTTAATTTGTGTATCCCAACTACAAAGTTATTCAAACTTTGTTGCAATTGATTTTCTTGGGGGCTGTGCCTGTGACAAAGTTCAAGGGTCACTCAGTCATTACTAATGCAAGAGTCTTGGCCCGGCACGATAGCATTGACAAGTCTAGGTCGCTCCCAAATTAGTTCATTAAATAGTTATTTTCAAATTAGGCGGCAATTGCAAGGCTAGCAGCTGGTTTAAGGCTCACAAATAGCACACACACACACATACAAGGGGCAAAAGCTGGCTATAATTTAAAATAAAAAAAAACAACTGTAACCTTAACACTTACCCCGATCAAAGAGCATTGCCTCATTTCGAATTCAAGACGAAGCCAATATCTTGAAAGCCCGACTGGCTTCACCAAGTTTTCAACTTGTCCGAGCCCAAACATGATTTGATCCCAATAACAGCATGACTTATGCATAGCGAAGAAATTATCCTTCGTGGGCCTCCCAGGCGACACAATTGGGCGTCATGTTGACAAGGGATTGACGTCAGGAGCTTTTAATCTATTGGCAGCCACATATTTTAAATTTATGCAAAATCCATTCGTGTTTTCAGCTAGTTAATTTGCATTGTACAATAAATCTTCTTTTCAAAGTTGTTTCACTTGCGTCAAATTATGTTGGGATTTACACATTTTAAATTGTATCCATTTTATTTATATGCCAATTTGCGCTGTTTTATTTATGCAAATTTCTAATACCCTTTAGCGAGAGTTGTGTGTTGTGTGTGAACCAGCAGGCGTGTAGTGTTGAGTGTGTAATTCATGCATCGATTGTAATTGCTTTAGGACCAAAGGCAAAGGCTGCAAGCAGAATAAAAAGAAAATAATTACTATTTAACATTTATAATTTAAAAGAAATTTATTAATGTGGTGATTCTCATTAAAGGCAGAGAATCAATTTTATTTTATAAGTTTAATTCCTGTTATATATATCCAATAGCATACACAATATCAGGCTATGCGCGCAAGGCTGCCTCAATTAATACTTAGCTGCACTGGGCAGCCCATTCATAGCATTTTCTGTACATGATGCGATGCATTCATGATCTGTTTATAACATTTTCAGCAAACATACACACTCCAACACGTTCCGTACTGGGCCACCTCTCTGCTCTTACTGAAACCCAGATGCAATTGACAGTCCCTTTTATACTGTGAGCTTACATTCATGATCTGTTATTAACATATTTATGCAAACACACACGCACAAATACACCATTACGCCTTCCGTCCTGGGCCACGGCTCAGCTTCGACTGAAGCACAGATGCAATGGGCATCCCTTTATATACTGTGACGAACTAACATTCGTGATCTGTTATTAACACTTGCATGCTATTGCACACGCACATACACACTTTTACACCTTCCTTACTGGGCCGCCTCGCAGACTCGACTGAACCCCAGCTACAGTGAGCTGCTCCTTTTATACTGTAACGATCGTACATTCATGATCTGTTATTAACATATTTATGCAAGCACACACGCACAAACACTATATTACACCTTCCGTCCTGGGCCGGGGCTCAACTTCGACTGAAACACAGATGCTATGGGCACTCCCTTTTATACTGTAACGAGCGCACATTCATGATCTGTTATTAACATATTTATGCAAACACGCACAAACACACCATTACGCCTTCCGTCCTGGGCCACGGCTCAGCTTCGACTGAAGCACAGATGCAATGGGCATCTCTTTATATACTGCGACGAGCAAAAATTCGTGATCTGTTATTAACACTTACATGCATATACACACTTTTGCACCTTCCTTACTGGGCCGCCTCGCAGACTCGACTGAACCCCAGCTACAGTGAGCTGCTCCTTTTATACTATGACGAGATGCCATTTTGATCTGTTATTAACATATTTATGTAAACACAAACACGCTATTACACCTTCCTTCCTGGGCCCCGGCGCAGCTTCGACTGAAACCCAGATGCTATGGGCACTCCCTTTTATACTGTAACGAGCGTACATTCATGATCTGTTATTAACACTTACATGTTATAGCAATAGCCATACACACTTTTACACCTGTTCTAGGCCGGCTCGCAGCTTCGGCTACAATCCAGCATTGAGCAGCCCTTTTTATACTGTGGGCTGCACTTGTTACAAGCCGACATTCATGGTTAAATTCTAATAATTTTATGCAAGCACAAATTCACTTAGCCAATATTATATCAACTTTTCCTAACCGCAGTTTCAGCTTGTGCCACGCCATCAGAAAGCAGCCGTATTTATACTCCTGGTTCTTCTTGTTCAAATTTATAATTTTACTAATATGCTTATTCAAAAACATCAGCACATCATACCAATTGTAATGAGTCGCTTCGCAGCTGTGACTGTGACGATTTTACATGCATGATCTCTTCTGAACATTTATATACAAACACACACGCACAAGCACTCTATGACGCCTACCGCACTGGGCAGCCTCACAGCATCGACTGATGCCCAGCTTCAAAGGGCCCTCCTTTTTATACTGTGACGAGCTTACATTCATGATCTGTTATTAGCATTTATCTGCAAACACTTTTCACACTCGCATTATTATACAATCCGTAATGGACCGCCGCGAAGCTTTCACTGAAGCACTGCGCCAATGGATAGTCCTTTTTATACTGTGCCGAGCCTACATTCATGATCTGTTATTAACATTTGCAAACACACACGCACATACACAATGTTACAACTTCTGTACTGGGGCGCCTCGCAGCATTAATGATCTGTTAATAACATATTTATGCAAGCACTCATGCATATGTTAGTTAGGAATTTAAACTTTTTAATTGATTCAAGTATTTTGATTAAATGCTGATAGTCGCACATCCCAATCCGTAAGAGGTTTGAAGTGAATAAAAAATTGTACTAAGACGGGGTTTTCGAAAAATTCACCAGCGGATAAAAATTGTATGCATATTTAAACCGTTACAGAGGGTATAATTATTTTGTCTAGAAATGTGAAACGCATCTTCGAGCTCATAAGGTGTTTATATTCTATATTATAATCAACATCCGCGCTGTCAGTCCGTTTATTTCTATGCGCATTATTCTGTCAGATTCTGTTGTAGGCAGTACATATGTCGGAACTGGCCGGATCGGACCACTATATCATATAGCTAAAGTAGGATAGTTCTGTCAAAATGTGCTTGTATGGAAAACTTTTGGTTTATCCATCTTGACTAATCTCGGCACTTACTATTTAAAATAACATGCATATGTTTATAGCTCAATCTTATATATATATAGAAACTATAAGATCTAGTTTATAGTTTTTGTTGTCATCATTATGTTTAAATCTATTTTTCAAGATCTGTATTAACATTTATTGAAGACACCGTGCACAGCTTGGGAAAAAATCTACATTTTGCGTGAAAAATAGGCGTCAATAGTTAGATCACATACAAAACTTACTTCCAAATACGCAAAGTGTTATTTAAAACATGATTAGCATTAATGGGGTTAAGCAGTAAGAATAATATTAAATAATGTGCTTTAACTTTCCATTTAATGCGAGTCAGCGAACTGTTATGTCGCGCTCTACAGGTTTATGTTGAACTTCTACCAGAAATGTTTGAATCTTATTAGCTCGCATTACGTGAACGCCACGTATTGTCGTATTGTCAGACGGAAATTGCACAAGTCTGCAAACAAACTTCAGCGCACTTTGACATGTCTTTTTACACGTGAGTGTGCGTGTTTGCTTATTCGCTTTTCTGTTTGTGTGCTAACAGAATTTTTGCCCGTCGACATTTTCTTAGACGAGTACCGTACGCAACCGGAAGTCAATGTTGACAATATCCTGTTAAGCTGGGATAAGTGTTCAGGGAACTGAATCGCACCGAGCCATTGCAATGTATATATAATTTAATTTAAACACCCTACTGACATCTGCGGGAAATTGAGGTTGAAGTGCAGCCGGCAATTGCATTTCGAGTTTTATTGAAATCAACGCTGTGAATAGAATAGTTCAGCTGTCCCTAGAAGCAATCGAAATCAATAAATTTAATTAAACGTGAAGGTTGCATAAACAATATGTCTAAAAAAATGTTTGCTGTTGCTAGTTATATCAATATCCTTGTTTTTAAGCTTAACACTTTTTTATTTGCAATCAGTCAATGAGTAAAAGTTTCTCCTTAATAAAGAATTTTCTTACCTTTGATCTTTACACTTTTCTGGTATTGGACCAGTTTCCGTTGCTTGCTAATTTATAGAATATAAATGAAATTGCAATCAGTTAATGAGCATTTGGAAGTAACTTTTGCTTTTATTGGCTTAATAAAGCATTGAGGCAACTTTATATTGATTGATTAATCGATTAACTGGCAAAAGATAGCGTATACGTGTAGGTAGGTAAGTAAAAAGTGTCACTTGACTAAAAGCTACTTGAAGAAATGCCACATCAAATATTAACCATACGCAACGTGTGACGAATCAAAATGCCCGTATGCTTGCGTGTGTGCGTTTCATTGACCAAAGTGTGCATTTGTGTGCTCGCGTGTGTGTGTGTGTAATATGCCGGCACTCGTGATAAAAACCAAAACAGAGCAACAGACGGCGTGCGCCCTCGCTCTCGCTCTCACTCTCACTCTCGCTCTATCTTTCTCACTCTCTCGTTGCGTTCGCTTAGCAACATTTTGCGGCAAGGTCGGCAACATTTGGCTGTGCTTGTTGCTTCGTGTCGGGCATGTGAACAAGAGAGCGTCGAAAATGCTTGCGTGTATTTGTGAGGCGCTCTTTACACTCTGCGCATTAATGATAAATATTAATTAATATTTTGATTAATATTAATTTTCTGCTCATGCGGGATATATATATTGTATTATATGATATATATTTAGTAAGAGATATAATTAAAAATGTTTTTATTTAACTTTAAAATAATAAAAATAAAATAAAAGTACAAACAATACTATTAATATATATTTTTTAGATTGCAATAGTTGGGAAATTAAAACTAACATCAAACTTACAGATAAAATAACATTATATACATGCATATATTCACATATATTTTACTGCAGTGTATTGCACGAATACAAAGACACGACGGCCGCAAGCCTTCGGCTCGTGTTTATGTGAGAGCCCGACAACACTGGCTGCTCCGTTCGCTGTTCGCGGTCAGCCGCGGCCTGTTGGACGTTGCTCGTTTCTGATTAGAATGCGCGCTCAGTTCTGATTAGACCGTGCGGGCGTGCGGTTCGCAGCAATTTGCGTTTTCGTACTCGTTTGCGATTTCGAGTTCGATCTGATTTTCATTTCGCGCGTTTCGATGAGCGCGCGCGTTTTGTTTGTGTCTGTGATTTAATTTAACAACGCGCGCGTTTTAAGCATAATATACATATATGCATATATATATATATTGATATAAATAATTAAGCTATATGTATCAAATACACATGTGAAATTTGTTTAAATTGCCAAAAGCAACAACAACAACAACAACAACAGCAACAGCAACAAAGCATCGACAGCCTCCAATCATTTAGGTAGTGTATCTGTTTTCACACAATGAGAAGTTTTAATTAACGCAAAACTTAAGAAAACAACAAGCAAAATGTAAGCGAACCGGCAAAAAACGGAACTGTTTCTCCCGCCAACTAATTGCCAAGTTCAATAGCAACTAAAATTAAAATAAAATAGAACACAAAAAGCAAATAGCAAAAAACAAAAACAAAACAAAAACTAAAATCAAGTTTAAAACGCTTTCGTAAGCCCTCTGGCAGGTGTGATAACCGCTAATCGGCTTTCATTTCTGATTTCTGATTTCGAGCTTCTATTATTAATTTAATGAACTAATACAAATTGCTTCTTGCTTTTATTAACATATTATAAAAACATATACAATTGATTAGTTGAAAAAAAAAGAAGGCAAGAGGAATATTGGACTGCTCTCGATTTGTCAGCTGTTGGCGACACATTGCGTCAGTTTTTTTTTAAGTGTTCTTGTTTTTTTTTTTTCATACTTTTTGTTGCTATTTTGCAATTTTTTTTCGTTATTTCTGACGGCCGGACGCGACGTTCTGCAGTGTGCGAGTGTGCGAGTGTGTGTGTGTGTGTGTGTGTGCGATGAAAGAAATGATAGAAAAAGCGGCACAAATAAATTTAGTTAGCGACTAGAGATATTGCCGGGCATATACATATGTATGCATAACTATCTCGACAATTTGTGGGTGGCATTGACTTTGCCATGATTCCAACAATCATAAATATAAGCATCAAAAACTTATAGTTTTCTATTTTCATATGATTAGCTAGCTTTTGTCAGTCTTTCTTTGGAGGTCACAAAGTTGTTCCATGGTGATTTATGACTATAATGTGGTTTAGTTCTCAGTTCTTCCTATTTTATTACTATTGGACTAACTGTAATACATTCATATTATAAACAATAACCTTTATACTTTATTGCTTTATACCCTTAATTATGGCATATTAACAAAAAGAGTTTCAGAGTCAGGGAATATTGTCGCCTTGTAATTGTAATTGGATATTTGTCAAAAGTTTTCTATTATGCTTAGGGCAATAACAGAAAGTATCTGCGGCAAGATTCATCATATAATTGCCTCTGCATGGGTATAAAAATAATCATTTAGTTAGTCGCGAAATCATTTGCCAAATGTTGTCTTTAAATAAATCAAGTTATAAAAATGCTCGCGTTGATTTTGTTTTGGCTCACGGCTTGCTTAATAAATTAACGCCCACACTCAGCGTGTTTTTCTTCTTAATATATATTGCTTAGTTTATTTTTTTATTTTTATTCTATTTTTTATCTTTATGGCCAGACAACGAAGTTCAAATTCTATAAGAAAATAGAGAACGATATATAAAAAAATCAACGCCACGAGGCGAAATTACTAAGTATATCTGATAACTCGATGAGGGAGCGCCCGTTTCATAGTTCAATATTCCAATTTTATATATACATATATATATATATATATATATATATAGGTGGCGTTCATTATCACAGCTAAAGTCGGCGGCAGCAGATAGCGTCGATAAAATACGTTTTTGAAGAGCCATAAAGCTCAATGAGACAAATTATATTTCGCATTTCCATTTAAATAATCATTTTTTATAAACTAATTGAAAGCGAACTGCAAATTCTTCGCTTGTCACAAATGATATTCACCAAATTAATTACTCACACTTGATTGTGCTGTGCCGAATTTAATGAAATGAACA